CCACAATACTTGGGTAAAAAGAAAGAAATCTCATGGTCTACACTATCCATGTTTCATTAACAATACTAGCCTGTTTCTTATTGCAAACACGCCCCCATACCGAAACACATACCCTTAGAAACCCATTTCTATGTCCTTTACCACCCCCTTTTTTTCCAAATCTGATAATCAGATCAAATAAAGGGGGAAGGGTACCTGAAGGTGGTACCCATACCATTTTTACCTAATGACAATGGGGACTCCAAAAGAACAAGCACACAGAACTTGGAGAGTCTAAGATTTGAGTTCATTTTTAGTTCTTTACATTTCTAAGGCAAAAGCTGGTAAACTACGGCTTGTAACTAAATCTCATTTACTGCCTGTTTTTGTACGTGATGCCCTTTGTATATATACAATCTATGGCTGTTTTTGTTGTGGTTGTTAGTGGTGGTTTTGTTTTTCTGTTTCTTGAGTGAGCATGTTGCTATGTAGCCCAGGCTGGCCCTGAACTTACTATGTAGCTTATGCTGATGTTGAAATCGATCCTCCTGCTGCAGCCTACTGAATGCTGGGATACCAGGCTGGCATCCTATCTAGCACCATGGAAGCTTTTTTGGAACAACAGCAGGTTGAGTAGTTGTGAGAGAAAAAAAATAGTCCACAAATCGTCAAATATTATTTTTCTACTTTTTGTAAAGTCTGCTACCCAGTTCTAAGGCATCAAAGAACTAGTAGACCTCAATCTATCACAGCTGAACTGACAGAGGCAGGGCTGAACTATACTAGGCCTAATAAACATTTTGAGGTATAGGAGAGGGAACAGACAAGATGGTGATGTTTATCTCAATTTTCCTAAAATTCCACTTTCAAATCCCATAGGATTTGGGCTTATGCAACCTTTGAAATGGGACATAAAAGGAATTTCTCTAATGTCAATGATACAAAATATGTTAAGCTGCTCACTTAAAGTTAGCATATAATATCTAATCTTATATAATCCAAATACGTGGCATTAAATTCTTAATATTAAAAAATAAATCTTAACATTTTACATTTTAAGGCATTGAGACATCACTCACCTGAACAATTGAATGTACACCAACTGTCTGCATAGCTTGGCTTTCATCATCTGAGGTAATAGCAACAAAACTAAACCCCCGAAAAAGCTGATGTGCATTAGCACTAGGTGGAATGCCAGGTGAATCTAAAAAGAATGAGGAATTACTAAGAAGAGTCTTTGGAAGGTAGCTAAGGGAAAAACTGTTGGCATTATAAACTTTCTCACTTACTCAGGTACCCAATAGTTACGCACTCATGCACATATCCTACCTGCCTCTTACTGTCCAGGATACCTAAGTGAGGTATCTGTTTTAGGGCTGGAGACATGGCTCAGTGGTTAAGAGCCCTGGCTGCTCTTACAGAAGACCTGGGTTCAATTCCCAACATCCATATGGAGGCTAACAACTGCCTGTAACTCCAGTTCCAGGAGATCAATGTACTCTCCTGACCTTTGTGACCACTGCATCATATGAGTACACTTACATACACGCAGGCATAACACTCATAAACACAAAACTAAAAAAAAAAATCTGTCCTGATTCCTTACTGCAATCATCACCCTAACAACCTACTCTTGGAGCCTAGAAGATAGTTAATCTGCTTGAAGAACATAATAAATCATTATTAAAATACAGTTTCATACACAAAAATTCATTTTTAATACAACTAACACTAAGATGTACATGCATTTCTAATCTCTATATATCTGATTATTACTAAAAAAAAAAATCTGTCCTGATTCCTTACTGCAATCATCACCCTAACAACCTACTCTTGGAGCCTAGAAGATAGTTAATCTGCTTGAAGAACATAATAAATCATTATTAAAATACAGTTTCATACACAAAAATTCATTTTTAATACAACTAACACTAAGATGTACATGCATTTCTAATCTCTATATATCTGATTATTACTAGTCACAGTTGGTAGTTGGTTATATCCCTGCTACTGTCTGCTGTGTTGTCGACACCCCCAGCCATTCCCCACTACTTGCCCTTCTGGTGAATCTAGTCAGCCTATCTAGAGGTCTTTGTTTAGGAGGGTCAGGTGTTCCTCATCTAGTGGTAATCAGTTGTCAATATTCCTTTGGATAAGATTGGGGTCTGCTGTTCATTTTCCCAGTTCTATGCTGGGTTACTATCTGGGAGTCCCTTTGGCCACCCTGGCCAACAACTCAAAAGAAGGTATCGCCTGTCTGGCATTGTTGCTCTTGCTATGCTTTAGCTATACATGTGAACTCTTAAGAAATTATACTGGCCCTTTTAATCTTTGGTTATACTTTCTTTTTGGGTGTTTAAGGCCATATAGTTGGTCCAGATGAACTGATTTATTTTTACTCTTAAGGTCCTCTGAGGATCTGTTCCTCAGGGGTCACATGGGCTTGGGAGGGGCCCCTGGCTCCTTTCTTTTACCAGTTCCGCCCATGTGAAGATAAGTGAAAGGTCCTGCTCGACCATGGTTGGCTTCGCTTGGAAGCATGGAGGAAATGATTCCTCTGTGTTGACCCTCCTCTTTGTAGACTGGACACTGGTTCAAGTCCATCTGGTGGGGTCTCCTCGGCCTCCTTGATCAAGTAGACAGGTAACCCACCACCATTATTGGACACTTTGAGAGATGCTCATAGTCCCCTGGAACTAGTCGACCTGGGAGGGCAAGGAGCAAAAAGTGTCCTTTATGTCCCTCTGACCAAATTATTATAGGCCTTAAAGTACATCTGTTAAACACCCAAGAAGGTTAGTTTCACCAGTCTGGTATTTTTAATTACTGTGTGTCATGTAGATAAATCTTGGGCTTAAGACAGGGTCTCCCTGTAGCCCTAGCTGACCTGGCACTCACTGTGTCAACCAGGCTGACCTTCATCTCACAGAGATCTGCCTGCCTCAGCCTCCTGAGTGCTAAAGGTGTGCACTACCACATGTGGTTATCATACTGGACATCACAACCCTATGTGATAATCTATCAATGCTATGACTCTGTGTTTTCAGGGGGTGGAGATAAAGCAAGTTTAGAAGATTTGAGGTTAGTATAAAAAGTTATTCTGGCAAAGATTTTCTGATGGAACAAAAAATAAGAATATATCTACTGTCTTATTTTTGCATTTTTATGTTTTCCTTTTACCTTTGGGAGTTTTTGCAGTAAACTCTGGATCAAAATAAAATGTATCTTCAGGTCTGCCAGTTGCAGGCTTAAAAGGTGGGTGAATTTCTCTTCTATACAGTTTCTGTTGGAAAAAGGAAGAGATTTAGACCTAGATTGGATTAATCTGAAAAAGTATTTCAAGCAAGTTTATTTTAGTAATGCTGGAGATGGAACTCGGAGCCTTATGCATGCTAGGTAAGTTATACCCCCAATTCCTCAAGCACACCCTCATCCTGTACTTACATTCCAGTCTATCGTTGAGAAAAATGAATGTCTTTTAATTTCCTCAACTCCATCTGGTCCAGCACCTATCAGAAATTAATTGGTTAACAGTTTTATTTCAAGGGCAAAATACACAAGAGTAGAAGCACACTCACAAACCTTATTCAGTCTTCGTTTTTAATATTTGAATGAATATTTAATAACCCTATTATAAAAAGAAAATATCCACTGTCCACTGAAAAAGTCAACATGAACAAAAGCATTAAAGAAACTATTTAATTAATTTTTTTTACCTAATCTGTTCGCAGGATTTCGTTTGAAAAGCATTCGTAAAAGGCTCTGGGCTTCAGGACTCAGAAACTGTGGCATCCCAAGTTTAGCTCTAAATAATAAATTGAAGTAATAACATTTAATCTTTTGAGGTACTGTTTTTACCTTTTTAACATTAAACTGTTTTGAAATAATTGTGGATTCATAATGAATTATGAAAAACAATAGAGAATTCTGTATCTATTTGCCCAATGATAACATCCTATAAAACACAGTGTAATATTCCAATCAGGGTGTTGACTTTGAGATAATCTACTGATCTCATTCAGATGGCTTCAGTTTTACTTGCATTTATTTTTCTGTAGTTTTAGTTTTATTCCATTTCTCATGTGCATATATAATCTTTTGTAGGTGTGTACTAGCTCATTTATCTATTGACCTTCTGAAGGGCACTTGAATTGTGTACAGATTGGGTGATTATGAATAAAGCTGCTATGAGCATTCATGTGTAGGTTTTTGCGTGAACACATTCTACAAAAAGTGCTAATGTGAGAATAAGATCATCTGAGTCTCAGTTATGGCTGTTACTTTTCCTGCCTGTTACCATATCTTCATAAGCAAAGAGACTGGATTTTAGTTCAACGGCTTCCAAACTACAGCCCTAGAACCCTTTCCAAAGGGACTTTAAGAAACCCAATATTAAAAGCTGCAAAGAGAACATATGCTTTATATGCCACTTTCCCCTGTTTCAATCCCTTTAACAGCTTCTGCAATAAAGGGAAAGTAATGGGAAAGGAGTTTACAAAACATTGAAGATTCAGTGGCACAGTCTGAAAACTACCAGCCTAGATGAGCTTAAGGTCTATTTCAACTATACTATATACTTTTATTCTTTCCCCCAACCTACAAATTAAAGAAACCAAAGATCCTGTAAGTATGACAATAATAACAGAGTTGGAGAAAATGGCTACCAGTGAAATTCCTATTTCAGAAATAGATCCACTCATTATTCACTGAGTTGTTATATGCTAGACATTGCTTGGTACTCTGGCTACAATGCTAAAGATAACCCCCATCCCAGTCAGTGGGGAGGATGAATATAGATAACCATAGTACATCAAATGACAAATCCAAAGCTGGGAGTGGTGGCACACTCCTCTAATCAAAGCACAGAGGATGCTAAGGCAAGAAGATCAAGTTTGAGGTCAGCCTAGGTGATACAGTGAGACCCTGTTTCACAAAAACGAAAACAACAAAACAAAACAAAATGCAGCAACAAGCAATCAGTCAAAAAGAAAATCCAGAAAGGCACTTGGAAAGAATGCCAAGGGAACAATAGTGGATATCTAATTTGGTGTGGAGCAATGTGAAAGACATTCAAAGTAATTTAAAGGTTGAATTTAGATTAAATTTACTCACTGGGCCAGTGTTCCCCCAAATGCTAATAAATAACATTATTCCTCTAGATGCTTGGCAACAACAACAAAGAAAATTCTATAATCCAGTGAGCTTGTCTATTGCTCTCTATTATAACCTCCATAGTGGAGAAATAAAATACACTACATATAAAAGGCTGAGAAGTTTAGAGTAAAGAAATTATTATTTTCTAATTATTTGTCTCCAAGCAGCCCTTTTGGAGAGTGTAACTATTAATATGTTATACAATCATGGTTACTTGCACAAATCTGAGAAAGCACAGAAACGGATGTGGCAGAGTTCTTGAAACAATGGATTAACATGGCCAGACTTATTTTCAAGATGATAACTCCAAGGGTAGCAGAGAACAATCTGGGGTGGAAAAAGGTGGCATGCGTTTTACTCAGGAGTATAGCTCAACAGTGTAGGCAAGATGTTCTCATGGCTTGATTATTGTAATATAGTACAGAGGAAGGGCTGAAGCACTAAGAAAGTTCTAAACTAAAATTAGACTATATGGCTATGAAAAAGCGAGGAAGACATTAAGAATGATGCAAGGTTTTGGCTTGGAAAATAGGGTGCATGGAAATGGTAATCAGGAGTATAAGAACAGGAAAACAACAGCAAATAGAAACAATTTTAGTTTAACGATGTGAAATCATGCTACTACATGTCTTGGGCAAATCACGTAAGGGAAAAAAATGTAAATACAGGTCTGGTGCCACTGATGTAACAATGATTTGAGGACAATGAAAATGGTGTGAGTAGCTACAGGAAAGACTGAGGTCACGCAAGGAATTGGACAGAGGGACATAAGCACACCAGAGACAGAACCCTGGTGAGAGAAGAGCATTTGAGAGGTGGACAGAAAAAGAACTCATTTGGATACCAAAAATAATGAAAAATGGGTTAGGGAAATAGCTCATTGGTACAACATGTGCTTAGCATGTACAAAGCCCTAGGTTCAATTCCCAGTATCAAGGAATAACTGGTTGAATCACACTGATTATTTGATGAATGAAAGTTCATTGTTTCAGGAAACACCACCTAAAAAGTGAGGAAAGAATGATAGTAATAGGAAAATCACCTTCTGAATCTTTTTAGAGATTTTCAAAAAGCAATGATTATCAATGGATTAAACCATTAGACAACGTTTGATATATTATGGTGAGGTAAGCTGGAATAAAGTGAGATAGGCATTGTAAACCTCAGACTTAATGCAATAGGGAACATGAACTACAAGCTATGAAATAGTCCTTAGTTTAAGCAGCTGGGTATTGTGGTATACACATTTAATCCTAGTACTTTGGAAGATGAGGCAGGAAAACTGAAAGTCTGTCAGCCTGGGTTACATACTGAGATTCTGTCACAAATCAAATCAAAACAAAACAAAACAAAACAACCACCACCACAAAAAGAAGAGTTTAAAGTAAAAACAGGATAGAGGAACAAGTTAATATCACAAGAAAAAAAGTTTGCACAGTCCTAGTTAAAGACTAATGGTTACGTAGTAAGGGTATTAACAGAACAACAGAACTAGTTTTAATCCATTCCATTATCAATGGCAATTTGCCTAGAAAACTTTCAAGCCAACTGAACATTAAGTATTATCTCTGAAAATTACCCAAACAGGATCAGTCTCATTCAAATAAATATACCTGAGTGTCTACTCATTGACAGAGCTACTCAAGTAATTACAGTCTTACAGATGATGCCAACCCATTTAGAGATCTGCAAATCTGTCAGTACTTGAATTCTACCCTTCCCTAAAATTACCATATATAAGATCACTGATCAGCTGTGTGTGGTGTCACATGCCTATAATTCCAGCACTCAGGAGACTGAGGAAGGAGGCTTAAAGATTTGAGGCCAATCTGGGATACATAGTTAGACTCTATCATAAAATAACCAAAAAAAAAAAAACCCAAAAAAAACAAAAAAAAAAAAAAAACCACAAACCCAAAACCCCCCAACACGCGTGTACACACACACACACACACACACACACACACACACACACACACACAGAGAGACAAATAAACAACCAAAAAGCCAAATGCAGACCAAAAGAGCAAAGGTTAGAGAGGTAAGAAAAGCAGGTGTGAGTAGGAAAAATCTAAGAGAGAGTATGTGTGCTTTGGGGAGTGATCAACAGTGTCAAACTCTCCTTAGAGAAACTTTCTTTAACTCTTCTTTTCTAAATTGTTCCTCCCCTTACTCATTCCTTCATATGGTCTACTAACAAAGTACAGTATCTTGAGATACTACCCCACTACTATCTGAAATTATCTTACTTATTTAATTATTAATTCTGTATTTCCCCCACTGGAACATAAGCTCTGTGAGACACAGAAGATCTTTCCAGTATTGTTCACGCTGCATCCCCAGTATCCTTACAAGAACTTCTATCACTTCTTGAATGAGTTGTATGAATGAACAATGGAATTACCTTTCTGACTAGAAGACCATTGAAAATTACAGGGAGAGCAGTTTTAGTAGAGTGGTATGGATGAATAACAGCCTGTGCAGTAAAAGAAACTAAAAAAAAAAAAGTAACAGAAAGCACAGACTACATTTAAAGAGGCTTTGTATTGAAAGGATGAAAGATGATGCAGTGACTCAAAAGGAACGCCAGGTCAAAGAAAGTGCTTGCTTTTTTTTCCTTTTAAACACTAGAGAATGTTAGCTGAAAGGAGAACATGGAGTAATGAGGTTTCACAGTGAAAGCTCAGTGAACACTCATTCATTTATGTAATATGTGTTTCTTAACCTTTTTATTGTGAAGAACAACACGCCAAAAAAATCTTCCAAACAAACAAACGCTGTCCCAAAGCACACAGCTCAATGATTCATCAAGTGAATAGTTGTCTGGCCAAGAATTACACATTGCCAGAACCCCTCATCCAATATAATCACATTTTTCCCTATTTTGTCTCCAGTTTTTACCATCTAAATATAGAGCCTAAAAATATGCTTTAGCTTTGCTACTTTGTAAACTTTATAAGCTATGCCCATGGGCCAAAGGCCCGGACCTGCTTTTGTATGGACCCTGAGTTAATAATTGGTTTAGTCAGGCGTGATGGTACATGCCTATAAACCCAGCACTTAGGAAGATAAGACTGAAGGATCATGAGTTCAAGACCAGCCTCTGATATAGAGTGAGACCTCATCTCTAAACACAAAGAGTTCTCTTATATTTTTACAGTATTGGCTAAAGAAATAGAATAAAGAGGAATAAATAACGAAGACTGTGTGTGCCTGCTCTGTAAAACTGAAAGTGGAGAGATGACTCAGCAGTTAAGAGCAGTGGCTGCTCCTGCAGAGATCTGGGTTCAAATCCCAGTACCCACATGGTGGCTAACAGTTGCCGGTAACTCCAGTTCCAGGGAATCCAACACCTTATGATCTCTGTGGCCATTGCACAACATGGGTGCATCTACCTACATGCAGGCAATACACTCATATACATAAAATAAGAATAATAAAATATTTTTTAAAACCTGAAAGTGTCCATCGATAGTGAACACAATTCAAATTTATAAATATACTATTATCATCAACCCATTCTATTGTTAATGATTCAGTTTCTATTCTCAATAATGCTACTATGAACAGTTTGCACTTATTTCTTGAGTTCCCTGACACATATAAATTGAGTACATGCCTAGGAGTGTGGTTAATGTGTATATATGTATGTATTTGTTGTTAATTTGAAACATTTATTTTAAAATCGCACCAAAACACGTTCACTTGGGAGTACTTACTTCAGAATCATAGTCATTGTTTCTTTACGATCTTTTCCTTGGAAAGGTAGTGTACCGGTGAGCATTTCAAACTACAGGTAGGTAAAATAACCAGGGGTATTAGCCAAAGTCTCAAGACCAGAAAGTAAAAACAAAAAACCATCATATTAATTACAACTGAATCCCCTAAAATTGCTCCCTATAAAGTTCTATTCTCCTTCTTTCTTCTGCTTAAAAACATGTCAAATTATTCTATTAGACTGTTATCTAATAAGTAAACTATATTGCTATACATAAAGTATGTTTTTTGAAATAAAAATATTTCTACTATTATTTATGATGAACTTAATAATTCATACAACTAAACTACATAATTCTGCAGAAATCAATCACATTTAAATGACATTTTAAAAGTATAAATATGTGACTAATCTATCAGCTAGCCAATTTCACATGGAGCTTTTCAAAGGGTTATTTACAAATAGATTTCTGTACGCTTTTTTTGTAAAGAATAAATACTATTAATGCTTTGGGGTATCCATGTCCAACTTTATGATAATGTATCACAATGCTGTTGTCTACAAAGTCATGTTTAACACCCTTATAATCAAATTAGAAAATAACACCAAAATCCCCACTTGTTTGGTAAGTTTATGATTTAGTGTTGGGCTGCATATACAGATTTCTTGCGTGTGTGCAGCCCATGGCCTGAAGGTTGGACTGATGTACTAGCAGAAAAATCAAAAGAAATACATTTTTGTCTTTTCAAACTAGGATGACAGAAAAGCAAATAATAGTTTGTATAGTCCTCCCCTGTAGGCAATCATTTTGTGTGGTTACTTATTAAACATAATATAAAATAAAGAAAATCAAAGTACTAGTTTCTCATAATGTTCCCTGCTGAGTCTTATTAAAAAACAAAATAACAGCCGGGTGTGGTGGCACATGCCTTTAGTCCCAGCACTGGGGAGGCAGAGGCAGGTAGATCTCTATGAGTTCAAGGCCAGCCTGGTCTACATAGTGAGTTCAGGTCAGGTGGGACTACAGGGAGACCCTGTCTCAAGAAGACAAAAACAAAACAAAACAAAACAAAATAACAATTCCCACCTCCTATAAATCAGAAATCCAAACCTTACCATCAATACACCAAAAGACCACCAGTCAGCGCTCTGAGTATGACCTCTACGGTTAACTACTTCTGGAGCCATGTACTCCACGGTTCCACAAAAGGAATATGCCTTCTTTTCATGGTCAATAGATTCCTTACTTAGGCCAAAATCTGCCAAAATAAACATTGAATTCATAAATACCCCAAAGTAATTTAGATACAACTATTTTTAAACTTTGAATTCCAACACTTATTATTAGAAATTCTAATCTAAGTTTTAACACAGTGAACTACTGACAATTTTGTTTATAAACAAACTTAAAAGGAATCATATAAGCCAGGCGTGGTGGCGCACGCCTGTAGTCCCACCTCTTGGGAAGCAGAGGCAGGTAGATCTCTGTGAGTTCAAGGCCAGCCTGGTCTACATAGTGAGTTCCAGGACAGCTGGAGCTACAGGGAGACCCTACTTCAAAAAGACAAAAAAAAAAAAAAAGAGGAAAAGGAATCATATAGAACAGAAGAGAGTATTTTAATAAAACAAGGATTTTTACCAGTTAACTTGATGTGACCTTCTTCATCAAGAAGTATGCTGAAAGAAAACAAAGTCAGAAACTGTTTTAAACCACTGTAGAAATTTATAGAAACTGAAACTGAAATTACTTTCTTAAACACCAGCTCACCACATTTCTTCTGAAGAGTTGTTTTAGACCATGAATAAGAAGGCAAATGTAACCTCAGTATGGTGCTGGCCTCAGACTCGGTCCTCCTGCCTGTTATCCCAGCACTCAGGAGGCTGATTCAAGGAGCAACCAGAGTTTGAGCCATCCTGGGCTACATAGTGAGTTCTAGGCCAGTCTAAGTTACATAGTGAGACTCTGTTGCAGCAGCACAATGGCAACAACACACAAATGAAGAAAAGACAGGAAAGGGGAAATTAACTTGACACACATTTATAAAAGATCCTAAAGGTACTGTCATTAAGAAGGACACTTGAAAACTTAAGAAATATATTAAACAAGCTATAGTCTTCCAAGCTGCTTTCTCTGATGTGTTTTGATTGAGACCACCTGTCTAAAACCTCCTCATCCCAGCATTCTAGACAAATAGAATCCTTTTTTAGGTTTAATTCTCTTGGTTTTGGGGGAGGGGTTGGGGAGACAGGGTCTTACTTTGTAGCCTAGGCTGGCCTTGACTCAAGACACTCTTGCCTCAGCTTTCCAAGTGCTGGGATAACAGGTTTGAGCCACCACAACCTGGCTTCTCGTGATAATTTTTAAGGTACTAAACTAAAGAATATTATACTAGCTTTGTGCCCCTCTCCACCACCATGACTTACACAATCCACTTTTGAACACACCATCCTTTGCACATTTCTTGGTTTTTCAATGACCTAATATGACTGACTATACACATTCTCCAGTCTTTTCTCATTCCTAGGCAAATAATGTGAGTTCCTTCAGCATTCAATCTTATTTACTTGTGTTAGTGTTTGGAAAAGCACAGACAAGTAAGAATTTGTTGAAGGCTGGAGATGGCTCAGTCTGTAAAGCACTTGCCTTGCATGCTCAAGGACCTGAGTTCAATTGCTAGAACCCACCTAAAAATGGGGCATGGTAGCATGTGCTTGTAATCCCAAGGAGACATGGAGAAGGCAGAGATCCCTGGTGCTTCCTAGCTACCTAGTCTAGCCTAATCAGTGAGCTTCAGGCCAACGAGACATCCTGTCTCAAAGGAGATAGATGGAGTTCCTGAGGCTAAGACACCCAAGGTTGTCCTATGGCCTCCAAGAGAACACACACACACACACACACTCTCACTCACTCACTCACTCACTCACTCACTCACTCACAGGATAAAAAGATCAATACAGAAGTGTTTCTTTAATGAATGAGGTCAGTGTACAGAGGGACTACAAGGCATTCCCAATAGTTTGTACTTCTTCACAAGGCCAATAGAGATAGTAAAAGGTATACAACCAGAGAGGGACAGAAAATCCAGGATATTTAGTGAGTACTTTGTGTTATGAGGAGCAACTGAAAAATGACACTCAAGTATCTAGTTTGACTAAATACTTTTGTGGAGGATAATGCCATCACTTATGGAGCTACAGAAAGAACTAAGTACTAAGTTGTAAACCTACAGCTGTATTTTTGGATAGGTATGCTAACTTGAAAAGTCAAATAACAAGCTATCCTATAATATAGACATCTTTTATTTTTAACTGAAACAAAAACCAAGCAAAATTTTCTTATAATAAATTTTTACTACGACAAAAATATCACCAACTTTCTTGCTGTATAAGTCCAAACAAAATAACAACAAAGTTTAGCATTAAGAATAGCTTAGTAGGGACATATTTTAAAAGTCACATTTATAACAATTTACTTGATAGGAAAAAATATTATGAAGCAGTCCAATATATTTAAGGTATATAACACACACTAATAAGGGACAGCGAGATGGCTGAGTACATAAAAGCACTTGCTGTGGCAACCTGAGTTCGATCCTTGGAACCCAGAGTGGAGAGAAGTGATTCCTAGAAATTGTCTTCCGATCTCCATGCATGCATCATGGAACACACATGCCTGCATACACACACCCCATACATATACACATACACACTGTACACACATTAAGAAAATTAATAAAAAAATAAAAGACACTAATAGGATGGTGGAAATTATGTGCCTTTCTATCTAAACAATAGAAGACAGTTGGAAAAAAAAACAAAAACAAATTTCAATCCTCAAGTTATTCTTAGTAATTTTGAAATGTAAGAAAAGAAAGTCTGGCTAAAAAATTACTTTTACCTTCTTGATAAAGAAGTATTTTTGAGGCTAGCATATAAAGTAAATATATTTCTGAAGATAACAATGCTTATGTTTATCTTTTATAAAAGAAATATTCCATTAATACTTTCCGTAAACAAAGTTTCCTTTCAGCTATTAATAATTACTTAAAACATTTTATTCTAACAAAATTCTAGTTTAAAAGAAGCCAGAAAGCCTTCATCAGTTCATAAAGCATTTGGTCTAGAGTGTCTTAAAAAGTCATTTTAGTGTGTGTGTGTGTGTGTGTGTGTGTGTGTGTTGAGTCTGTGTGTGTGTTGTGTGTATCTCTGCAGTGCATGTGTGATGAGCTATGGGAGTCCTTTCTCTCAGGTCATCTGGCTTGGTGGCAAGCACCTTTACTTGTTGAGCCATCTTGTTGGCCTGTCTTTGTGAATATTTACTTTTATCAGGAATTGTATATTTTGGTCATGATACAAGTTTGGAAAATCATGTGAGAAATTCAGTATTACTTTTTTGTGAAGTAAAAACAGAACCATCTGAAATGTATCCCAAACTAAACTGTATTAAAAAAAAGCTTTCAAGAGCATTTTCTGTATTTCCTATCACAATACATAATCTAAAATTTATACATTTTGAAGTAATATTCAAAATACTTGATAAGACCCAGGTGTGTTGGCATACAACTGTAATCCTAACACATGGGAGGTGGGGCAGAAGGATCAAGAGTTAAACAGCCAGTTCAAAATGAGACTGTCTCAAAAAAAAAAAAAAAACTGGATAAAGATTATGGCTGCATATACTGAAAACCAATGAACTGCACTCTTTATTTAATTTTATTTATTTTTATTTTATGTGTATGACTGTTTTGTCTACTTGTATATAAGTGCACCAAGTTCATGCAATGTCTGTGGAGGCTAGAAGAGGAGGTTAGATTTTGGATTCTCTGGAACTGGAGTTACTGAGGGACAAGTATTAGCTGCCATCTGAGTTCTGGGAACCGAATCTGGGTCCCCTGGAAGAACAGCATGTGCCCTTAACCACTGAGCCATCTTTCCAGCCCTGATGTATGCCTTATTTATTATTTATTTATTTAAATTCATTCATTCATTCATCCATTCATTTTAGTCTTTTTTAAGACAGGGTCTCCCTGTAGTTCCAGCTGACCTGGAACTCACTATGTAGAACAGGCTGGCCTTGAACTCACAGAGATTCTCCTGCCTCTACATCCTGAGTGCTGGGATTAAGGGCGTCTACCACCATGCACAGCCATATGCCTTATTTTTTGAGATGGGTCTTGGCTATGTTGTCCAGTCTGGTCTTGAACTCCTGGGCTCAAGAGATCCTCCCACCTCAGCTTTCTGAGTGCTGGGTCTATATGTGTGCATGTACCACTGTACCACTGCATCTGGTTGACTTATACAGTTAGAATGGAAGTAATGCATGAATTACACCTCAATAAAACTGTTTAAAATCATTTTATTTATTTATTTATTTATTTATTTATTTATTTATTACCCTTCAATTCATTTGTTTGTTAGTTTTCAACAGTAGTTTCCCTGTAGTCCCAGCTGCCCTGGAACTTGCTATGTAGGTCAGGCTGGCCTTGAACTGACAGGGATCCTCAGGCCTCTCTGCCTGAGTGCTGGGATTAAAGGCATACACCACCACACCTGGCTATTTTATTTTTTTAAGTCATTGTCTCCCAGTACCTCCAGCTGGCCTGGAACTCACTATGTAGATCACAGTGGCCTTAATCTCACCGGTCACTTGATCTACCTGCCACTACTTCCAATTGCTAGGAATAAAGGCGTGTGCCACTGTGCTCAGGTAGAAATATTCTTAATAGAGCAAGATTCCTACCTGTACCCTTGGAGAAAGAAAAAAATTCCTTCCTTTCTCAGTGGTAGATGGTAAATACCAACAATTTAAAAGATAGAAGTATAAATAATTTAAGTATTATCAGCTTTTGGATGAATGTTCCTATAAGAGTTGTGGAAAATTTGCTCGTCTTATAATTTTGAAATTATAGGAAGAAATTTTCAACAAATGATAGTTGGGAGAAAGGATCAGCTCTATACCATTCTTCATAGAGCTATCAGTCAAATAAACCATAAAATTAAAAGAAAAATATCATTATAGGATTTGGAAAACATTTTCTACCAGCAACTCACGAGAGAAATCACAAAAGAAAAGATGAGTTTGACTAATGAGAAAAAAAATGTGTGCAGATTAAAAGTATGAACAAAACTTTAAGTGATGGAATGAAAAATTCATTATATTGCCTAGAGTGCCCTTGAATCTGTGTTCAAGCAGTTCTCTTGCCGCAGCCTCCCCAAAACAGAATACTATATACATGTGCAACTGTTCCTGCCTATATGGTTAGAATTTTTAGTTTTGGGCTTGCAAGATGGCTCGGAGGATACAGGTACTTGCTTCCAGGTCTGATGATATGAGTTTAGTCCTGGGAACCCACATGGTAGAGGGGGAGAACTGATTCTTGCTGGTTGTCTTTGACCTCCAAATGAGCACCATGACGTGTGTATCCACCACATGTGAAATTAAAAAATTAAATAAATGCAATTAAAAACTCTCACTTTGTAAAGTTCTCTCAATAAGTCAATGGGAACATGACATTCCAAAAGAAAGTGAGCCAAGGCCACAAACAGAAACCTTTCTGCCAAATCGCCAACAAACATACACTTTAATCTCATTAAAATCAAAGGATGTCCTGGGCATGGTGGCACACGCCTTCTATCTCAGTGCTCGAGAGGAACAGGTAGGTGAGATCGAGGCCAGTCTGGTTTAAATACAGAGTTCCAGGCCATCTAGGGCTATAGGGAGACCCTGCCTCAAACTCACCTGCCCCACCCCAAAAATAAAAAAAATGTAAATGAAAATAAGATAATATTGATGACTAATAAAGATTCTAAAGTTTAAGAGTATATCATGTGTGCTGGATAGCTTTAGTGTCAACATGACACACCTGGGTCGAGGGAGCCTCAATTGGGGAATTACCTCCATTGGACTGGCCTATGGCCATGTCTGTGGGGCATCTTCTTGATTACTGAGTGATGTGGGAGGGCCCAGCCCACTGTGGGTGGTGCCACCCCTGGGCAGGTGGGCCTGTGTTGCATAAGAAAGCAGGCTGAGCAGGGGCCAGGGGAGCAAACCTGTAAGTATTCCTCCATGGCCTGTGCTTCACCTCTTGCCTCCAGGTCCCTGTCCTGAGTTCCTACCTCAGGCTCCCTGGTGAACTGTGTGACCCTGGAGATGTAAGCTGAATAAACCTTTCCTCCCCAAGTTGGTATTGGGTCAGAGTATTTTGTTACAGCAATGGAGAAACAAACTAGAACACCATGTTAGCAGAAATGTGAAACACGGGTACTACAATGCAATGCTGAGCGAGTTCTATGAGTCACTACTTTTTTATGACCTCCTATATAACCACATCACATTGTATTCAACTTAATAGCATGATTTCTTACTTTTCTGGTTTTAAGTCTCTATAGATTATTCCCAGGCTATGCAGATGGTCTAAAGCAAGTGCAAGTTCAGCCAAGTAGAATTTGACATCTTCTTCTGTGAACATCACCTAAAATAAAATAATAATTTTTCCATCTTTATTTTCTTTTTATGTCTATGATTTTTAAGGCTCTACTTAAGAGTGAAATATTAAAATGATTTATAAATATGCTAATCAGATAGACTTAGTCAAAATTTACTCATGAAAGAAATTTGCAAAATTAATCAGTCAAGCATAATAATCACTTACTAAATGTTAATGACGCCCTGTACTAGAAAAGTTTTCCTACCACATTAACATTTTAGAAATGAAAAGTAGCCATGAAAATATATGATAAATTGTCAGTACCAATTAATTAAGGATATTTTATTGATACATTATCAGTTCTGAATAAAGCTATAAATGAAGCAGGGCTAAGCAGCTTGCCAATTTAAAGTACTGATTTTAATATAAATTCAAGAGAGGAAGAGACCTCTTTTTGACTCAGTTACTTGAAAGAATAGTGAAAATATGACACATACAATACTGAAATAACAAAGCTTTAGTTGAAACAGGATGAATAGAAATAGGTTATAAATAGATGTTAATTACATACCTCTTTGGATAAGCGTGTAAACAAATCTCCTCCCCTGAGAAAATCCAAAATAAGATACAGCTTCCCTTCAGTTTGAAAAGCTGAATGAAGAACAAAATTTGTTCAATTCATCACAGTTTGCTTTTTATGCTTACACTAGTCAATTCACTCACAAATGAATATATTTAGCAAACTAGAGGTTTCGGAAATCTAACCCCTATTTTTACTTAGAAGAAAATGCTCTTTCTCTCTGTTTCCATGAGGAAATGCCAAATGCAGTATGTGTTGCTGTGGAACAACTGAGTTTTCTACAGGCAAGAGTCCCTCGAGAATGCGACTTTTTTAAACATGTGATCAGTTAAAAACAACAACAACAACAACAACAACAACAACAAACACCTCCTAATAGAAAGACTTGTTTAACCATGAAATAAAATACAAAACCAAGCCTTGGGGCTGGATTAAATTTAATGGCACTATGCTTTTACCCACAGAAGTAGCACTTGGCTTTGGAGAAAAGAAAGGTGGTTAACAGTTATAGGATCCTGACATTGTGTTCAGTTTGGGTGAACACACATGAATTATAAAATGTTGGTGTACTATTACATGTA